TTGCTCTACCAATAGCAACAGAACACTGCTTGGATGACTTGAGACTGATCAACCAGAACACCAAAATCTTTTTTCATCCATAATATTAAGGTTATTCTCATCAAAATTATACTCATAATTCAAAGTGTGATATCCATACAAATTAAAAATGATCTGCTATTTATTCACCCAACTCACCAAATAATACAAAGTTTTTTAGTAAAGCAGCAGCATCTTCCTCACAGCCAAAACTTCAATATCATCAGCAAATTGAAATAATTTATTGGACATTTCATCATCTGACATTAATGACATTCCTTTCATCTAGCCAGTTTTCTATCCAATGAGCCAACCTATCGAGATAACTTTTAACAAGCCTTTTATGTGACATTTTGTCAAATGCTTTCTAAATATCCAGATACACCAAATCCACACCTATACCCTCATGTATATAAGAAGTAACACCTTTAAAGAAAGTCCTGCCTTCAAAGAATGTTAAAAGACTAATTAGTAAGGCAAGGTTTTCTCCTAGTGAAACCATGCTGACTATCCAACAAAATTTTAATCTTTATAAAATGAATTTGCAAAGCATCTTTTATCAGACTTTCAAAAATCTTATGTAAAACTAATAGGCCTATAATTACTTGGACAATTTTTGTCACTTCCCTTGAAAAGAAGAGTAACATTAGTCAACTTGTAATTAATATGTTCAACTGACAGTTCTTGTGCAAAGGTTAAATTAAAATAATAAGTTGATGACTCCAACATTTCACACACGCACAATAATTTATTGTATAAAATTAAAAGCAAGAATAAAAAACTAAAACACTCTACATGGTTTGGTGGAACATGCTCCACCTGAAGATTGCAATTTAAACAATTTAAATTCTCAGCAGCTATCAAATAATTGAAACTTTTAAGTTAGCTAACACTGATGAAAAACTAATTTCAATCTAATATTTAATAGCTTTATTATCCTATAACCTGGTTCTGGTTTTTAGCCACAAATTAAATGCCTGATACTTAAATGTACCTGTAGTAATAAAACCTAAGTATCCAATCCCACCTGAACTAGCTAAAATACACCAAAATAATAACTCTTGACTATAAAAATATTGAAATAATATTCATCGTCTCCAGAAAAATGCTATAACCTACAACTACAAGTTTTCTTTTTCTCTCAGAGTTCAAATCTTCCATCAGTTACCCTCCACAGTTCTCTTTAGATTGTCATCTATTTCAACTAGAGCCCTGAACTCCTCTGTTAACATTAAAACAATAACCACCACAATTTTGGATCCTACTGTTTATGTTTAAATTTAACCGACTTTTCTTTAAAAATATTATTTAGCTTGTTCTGTTCTAAATCTATTCCTTTCAAACTCCTTGTTGCCTAAGCTATCTTATCAATTTGTTTATTCCCAATTTTCCAAGCTCTCTCACCACTATGCAAGTTTAAACTATCTTCAACAAATACACTAAGTTTTCCTAAACACCTTACTACTTAGGTGTAGCTCATATAATTCATCTCTACCCTGAAAACTATCCCACATCCCTCCTGCTGCTATAAGCTTATCCTTGATAATCTCTCATTTAAGACTTGAATCCTGCTAAATAATTCATCCCTGAATCTAGCCCAAGGGACCACTCAAGTAATGGTCACATACCTATTTCTATCCCTAATTCTCTGAAGGAGTTCATTATGTTTTCTAAGCAGCTCTTCTGATTTACAATTGCCAAGATAATCTGCTGTTACGTGTATTACAAAAAGAGAATGCTAGCAACTATATGTAAACTGACAAACAGTTGATTTGCCCTTGCCCATGGTTACTGATGAAGAGTTAAATTCCCCTGAAACCAGAATAACTCAACGACAATTGGTGAACTGAATGACAGATTTGGGCTGCAAATTTATTTTTAGTGTTTCAAATGGTTTGTCTACTGAGTAATTTCGAAAAGTTAATTCTTAACATCAATGCTACATATTTTTCAAATCTTATATAAACATAGGTTCACTTTAGTGAGTAAAAGACAACTAAAAACACCATACATATACAGACTACTACTAGAAATGTATTGATATCACCTTTCAGTAAATAACAGATAGATACTTGAAAAAACTTGACCAATAAGCCTGATACAGATAACACAGAACTCACTATTTACAAATGAGAGAGAGGCAGGCCTGATGATTAATTAATCTAAAAAATTATATTTTCATCTTCTGAATAACAAATACAGGCCTGCAGCCTATAATAACCCATTTTAATAGAATAACTTCAGACACAGCAACATACAATTATCATTTCACCTATAATCACCTCATATGAGATCTTAAAGTGGGCCAAAGTTAGAGCATAAAATATCTACAGAAGATTATATATTGTTATGTAAACTTAACTAAGCAACAAACTTCTAACAAAAAGGAATTTGTACATAGAAATTATATCATACACTAAATTTACATGACTAATGAAATGGAAGGAAGCTTTTCATGTGTGAATTACATTATATTTGTTTTCACATCCAGAGCAAGAACTCTTTAGAGACCATACTTTCTATACTTAAAAAGGAGAAGCTATGGGACATCTTTGGAAAAAAAAATTACACACTAAACCTTCAACAAAAAATTTGTTTTGTCTCCTTCCTCTAAAATCAATTTTGTAAGCACTTTCAGTGTCCTGTTGTTTCAGCAAAAAATATTTTTTGTTGTTGAATAAATAATATTTTTTTTCTCATGTCCACTGAATTCATAAATCATAAGAATGTGATGCTCAATATTAGCTGATATTTTATAAATGTCATCCTTTACCAGTATATAAGCAAAATGGTTGATATCATTTTATCAGTGCATCCCTATCAATTACTATAAGCACATTTTTTTTTAGCTGCTTTTGTCTAAGGTTTTCATGGACAGTGGAATTTCCCAAAACTGTAATATCCTCTACTTTAGCACCTGGTAAGTAAATTCTTGTCCTATTTTTTAATACTTCCCACTATCAGCAACTTTATAAGTATATGTAATGAAAGTCCCCCAACACATACTTCTCTTAATCATCTACTTACTCACTGTAAGCAGCCAAAGTACTCAGTACTCTCATTCTCACCAACACCTTGAGCAATCCTCACCCTAATGCTCTCCAGTTCCTGTCTTGCTTCCTTAATGTCTGCTTCTAACCTATTACTTGTGCCCTTCTAACAGTAAAATTTTCCCCACAGTGCTATCATCCTAAAGTATTTAAACTCTGCATGTTTAATGTGCTGTCTTTCTAAGCCTCCTGAAAGTCACAATGAAACCCACAATATTCAAAAGTAACTCACTCCTAGTAGCTATCACACCTTATAAATTCTACCCTACTTATCCCTGAACCACCTCTATTGAATTGAAGTTGACTAGTCTTTATTCTATATTTCCATTCTACCCAATAATTGTATAATTAACTAAAATTAATCTGTTCCACAGTTTATAGATTAATCTAACACTTGAATCTCCTATTAGCAAATACTGATACTATTACTTACTAGATTATCAAGCCTCTAGTTACATCTAGAAAATGTAGATAATTTACTATTGTTTTAAACAGCATACATGTGGTCCCAAACATTTAAGTTGGATACTTTTTTCTCCTGTATTATTTATTTATAAAATCCTAAATTAAAATATTTCTAGTATTGAGAATAGAATTTTGAGGCAATATTTCTAGTATTTATATTTATGCATGACAATGCTGTACTTAATATATTTTAATCCATGATAGCAATGCTCCTACCAAAGATAGGTATTGCTTGATTAAGTGTTGTAATCAGCGGGCACTGTGAAAGATTGTGTTATCCACTGGTACTTAGATTAGAGGAAAAATCCAAATGTGAGCACAAGTATTAAACCCTGATGTAGTAATTAGAATTTAATTGTTAAACTACATAACCTGAAAAAACAAAAAAAATAAATATGTGTCACTGACACTCAAATATAATCTTATTGTTCCATTTATGACACTTCAATTTCAATTCTAAAACTTGTTTAAATGCTGCAAGTCTAAAAATAAAACTTGTAACAACATAACAGGCCTCCAATAACTATTGTCACAAACATTTAACAGTAAATTTTGATCATTTATTTATTTTGGGTGGGGCAAAAGTGACTGTACAGCTCTTTCATTTAGAGCATAGTTTAATTTCTTAGATTCTAACTATTACTTTGAAACAAATAATAACTGAATTGGTTTCAAATGTCTTCATAAGAATTTCTTTAATTTAGTATCAACTTGTTTAAATGCTGGGAGTCTAATAATAAAACTTGTAACAATACAACAGACCTCCAATAACTATTGTCACAAACATTTAACAGTAAAGTTTGGTCATTTATTTATTTTGGGTGGGGCAAAAGTGACTATACAGCTCTTTCATTTAGAACATAGTTTAATTTCTTAGATTCTAACTATTACTTTGAAACAAATAATCATTAAATTGGTTTCAAATGTCTTTGTAAGAATTCCTTTCCTTTAGTACCAACTGTATAGTAAATTAATATATTTTGCCCTACCCTGTATTCAACTGTATTTATACTTACAGTGTTACAGCTCAATATAGGACTAGGAGTAGGACTAGTCCTACATCAAGTCATGTAAATTGTAATTATAAGATCGTCAAACCCAAATGACCCAAAGGTCTTTCAACCAAGTAACCGAAGACATTCTCTTTTGCCGGCGTGCAACTTACAAGTATAATTAGCGTACAGTACACATTATATACATACTATCTCAGTCACAGTACACACACTTGGGTCTTGACACCGTGTGATACAATACTTCAGGCTTTGCCTTGTTTAACTTTAACTTAGTTACTAACTTTGGCAAGTGGTTGTATCACTTATGACAGTAATTCAGTAAAGTAATACTAACACACTTCACTTTATTTACTCACAATAACCTTAGAAATATCATCACATATCGAGCAACATAAACTTTGAAACAGAACTTATAAAATAATTTTAAGAAATTCAGCACGTATACTCGACCCACCTTTCAGTTTCAGCTTTAATTAGTTTTAATAAAGCAGGACGATTCGACAATAAATGACTGATTCATTTAACTTGGTAAAACTGTACTGCCACCTGTTATTCAATGCCTTGATTTAACGTTTATTTCCAAATCTTTTATAAAACTAACATTAAACACTATACAAGATAATTTTCAGTATATATAATAGAGAAAATGTTTCGAAAAATTATCTTCGTTGGCTTAGCGGTAAGCGCGAGTGTTTATAATTCAAGAATTCGGAATTAATTCTACGGCGAACAGGACACAATTATACTATTGTGCGAATTTGACAAAAAAACAACAAGACAATGTCTGTATACAAGTCTAAATATAAAAAGAATTCAATTTACCATGGATATTCAAATACAATTTACTTAAATTATAATTTTGATTGACATAAACAGTTAATATTTAATTCTTTGTTTCGGATTTTGCGCAAAAAAGCAACACAAAGAACTGTCTGCGCATAGCCGTACTAACTTTAACATAGCATCTATCTATACAAATTTTAGCCCTCACTTGAAATACTTTGTTCAGTTTTGGTCTCGTTATCGAAGAAAGAATAATGACTTATTAGAAAGGATTCAGTGGAATGCTCCTACAATGATTCCGAGGATGGAAGGATTATCTTAGAGGGATAGATAAAGCTATAATGCCTATAAAATTCTAAGGATGTGAGAAGGGCGGATTAGCCCACCAGAATACCGGACATTTAGCCGATGGGCCGGTGAATTTGACGCATTCTTAGAAATTGATTGCAAACTTTCATTGTTTAACCAGTATTCAGCATGTGATATTGTCGGGCTGGTCCTTTAATGCCAATCCGCCTTGATGTGAGGTTAAGTTTGTCTGTCATATTCAAAACTAGATTATCAATACAAGATAGTTGTGAAGTGTGTAGGGTGGTTTCATGATATGGGGTGTGTAGCAACTGCGGTTTCTTTGGGCAAGTAAGTTGATTTGTTTTACATCAGTTAATTAATGTCATTTGTAAAATAGATGGCCTACAGCAATTTACAAAACAATACAAGTGGTCAAATTTGTAGAAACATTGAAAATGGAAATAAAGTAATTTATTATCATTATGTTGACTGGATAAAGAATTATTTTCACCAGATAATTTCAAAAGTACCCACCAACGAAAGATCTATGCTATACTACACTGATGTCTGATGAGGGATACTATTTTGTTGAAAATAAAATAGAACTTTGGATATAATTGAAATAGAACTTCAACTGTAAAGATGACTACCACTAGGTCAAAAAGTAAGAATGAAGCATTGCTTGGGATTATGAAAATATTGTTACGTCTCCGTTCGTTAATTAATTTTCCGTCAATTCGTTCCGACGAAACTTGAGCGACACAAGTCCTTTCTTAAATAAAACTGGCTTATTCTTTCCGAATACAATCCACAGTCGATCTATAACAAACGCTATAATTCTCAACGAACGTCTCACGTGCTCGTGCTCAACAAT